TGGCATTGCGGCGACGATGGTGCAGATTGTGATGGTAGTGTCGTTGATAATGGTATAGAGCGGTGATGTCGTCGGTGGTGACAATGAAAAATTAAAGGCGTCAATGGTAGGTCTCGATTGCAGCGGTGCAGTGGGGCAGAGCAGAGGACGACGGCAGTGGAGATTCAAGTGATAGTGTCAGGGATGCGACAACGACAATGGCGCCAGTGGGCTGTGGGCATCAACGTCGACGACGATTGCAGTGGTGGGCGTCGCTGTCGGCAGCATGCTATTGTGAAGTTGGCCAATTTTTTTTAGTTTTGGACTTGGCCACCGCTGGTGGATTTATTGCTAAGCTAAGGGGGTAAAACTTAAAAGTGGTGATCTATTTGCATTTGTGGATCTATTGGTTGCAATGCAGCGCATGTGGGGAGCATTTTTTTATGTTTCATTAATTAAGTTAATTACTCCTATTTAGAGAAGTATAAGTTTGAACTCCTATTTTGAGGATATGACATACGTTTTACTCCTAGTTTGGTTCTTCTCCAGTACAAAAATAAAAAACAAATATCGTGTGTGTGCATGTATATGTGTGTCTATATGTGTGTGTGTGTGTGTGTGTGTATGTATGTATGTATGTATGTATATGTATATATATATATATGGGATTGACTCCAGTCAGATGACACCTTACGGTGAGATGACATGTTACGGTCAGATGACGCAAAGCTCACCACTGGCCACTGCAAAGCTTACTAAGGACAACTACAAAGCTCACCAAACTGTAAGGTAAAGCTCACCATATTTTTTAAACACTTTGAATTTTTTTTTGAAAAAAAATTAAAGGAAGGGGTGGTGACTAGACTTTGACCATTAACCGTTGACCATCACCGGCGACCCCATGCCGCCGCCGACCACCGCCTCCGGCCTCCGGTCGCCGCCGACAACCACCACCGACCACCGCCGCCAGTCTCCGCCACGCCGCCGCCTCTGGCTGGTGGTTGACCGGTGTTGCTATTTTATTTTTTATTAATTTTTTAATTTTCAAAATTAAAAAAAAGTGAGTTTTGGTGTTCAAAGTGGTGAGCTTTACTTTATTTCCAGGTGAGCTTTACTTTTGCGTCATCTCACCTTAAGGTGTCATCTCACTGCAATCAATCCCTATATATATATATATATATATATATATATATATATATATATATATATATATATATGATTGACTCCGGTGAGATGACACCTTATGGTAAGATAACATCTAAGTACTCCATGCCTCTGGTTTTACTCTTCACATTTGATGTTTTACAGACTTTAATGTAGTATTTTTACCATTGATATCTCTCTATATTTGCATTGTTAATATATTTTATAAAAGATAAATATTTCAAAATTATATTTCAAAAGAAAATTATTGATATTATATATTTATATCAAAATACAATATGTTTTTTTTAAAATCGTGGACAAAATTTAAATACTTTGACCAAGAAAAGTTAAATAGGAAAATTAAATCCGGACCGAGGAAGTAATTTGTTACTAAAACAGTAATTGTTCATCAAAATGTTAGCTCATTAAGCAATAAATATTACCTAAACAGAATCTGTGAAATATTTTAAATATGATAACTAAAAGGAGTATATTTTTTTTCATTTTAGAACTCATTCATTTTTATTGTTTGAATGATTGTTTCACATCAAGTTTCTAATATTTTTTCATTTCAAATTGCTCGCCTCTAAAAGATCATATTTCGGGGGCGTTGTGCCCTAACCACGTACTTAAGCGGTGTCCCGGGTGATTTTTCTCCTAGATCCGCCACCGCCACAAGAATTTAATTACTCATTGACTAGAAATGTACGTGTATGTTTTGTTCAAGCAAGCATATAACACCGGAATTGAGACTTCTATCAAGTCACGAAATGATGGCAATAAAACAAAGTTCGTAGAAATTTTAAAATTCAAAAATCGCGAATTTATAATCGAAGGGGAGGCTTGGCGCAACAGTTGATACTTGATAGAGTTTTTGAGCATTGAAATGATTTCTTTAAATAAAGTAATTGTAATTTAGTTTATTGGGTTAATTGAATACCAGGCCAATACTATACCAAACGTGTGAAATTGATTCACCATGTAAAGGGGGGATTGAATGCATAAATAACAAACGTTCTCTTGAAATGACGTCACAAGTGTTACATGCTACGACGACACTATTAACGTGTGCATGTTCACACCTGCTTTAGAGAGTTCCACAGAAACATATATACCCGCGGTGGTAGCTAGAGGTTTCTATACATTGATTTAATTTGTCGACATTTATACACAGAAAAAAGAAAATGTAAATATTGCGACACCATAATTTGTCCAACCTGGGTTCTGCTAAGCGTTGAATTTGGACCTTCAAGTCCTCCACCGATTTAATTTCATTGCCGTGTTGTATATGTCACTTTTGTCACCCTCGTATCTAATGGCATTCAATCCCGGGTTAATTTGTCAACCCCCATTTATAAAAGATGACTGATGCTTAAATTGTGGATGATTTCACATTTTTCACGGGCTTGCATTTAGTTTTTTTTTTTGTAAAATGCTCACTTCTTTTATGCTATAAATGAACAAACGTCCATAAAATTAGCATGAACTTTAGGTCTACGTAATAATTTGCAATAAAAGATTAGTAGTAATTAAGGGTTAACTATTCTTTTTTTTAATGGCTTCAATACCCATCAGTGACGGAGGATCCAGAAAACGAAGAGACCGGGGGCGAGAGTACTACGGGGTTCAAGGGCAGCAGTCCTGATTCTTTTCTTCAAAAAAGCAATGTGAAATACAAAAAAAATCAACTCAATGAAGCATTCAAATAATTAATGAAAAGTTTCAAAACTATTCCAAAGAATTTTACGTTTTCCCAAGAATTTTTATTTTGAAATTATATTGTTGGTTTTTAAAATATGTCACATTGTATTCCTTTTATTTTAATAATCACTACTTAATTTTCAACTTAAAATTTTTTAATTGAGGCGTTTCATTTTTTTAATGGGGGCATAACTTAATTTTTTTAAATTGAGGTACTATTGAAAGAATTTGAAAATTCATTAGAGGCAAGTCCCCCATTCACTTGTTAATTAATCTACTCAGGCTCATGAGTGTAGTATCTGTTCAAACTAATTATATCAACCTCTTAAGCGCCGAACAGTCGATGTGGAGAAGCTTGGAGTGACTTTCTGGTCACTACACTAACATGCTTCCACTAAGCATTAACCATTATATTGTTTATTCATACAGTGTCTAATCCTTTTAATATAAATTAAAAAGCAGACTCCAAGTTGCAAGAACATGACATTTGGCGGAACTAAGGCGTGAAATGTGACGGAATTGAGTTGGATTCGCCTCGTCATATCCTACACAACGGTATAACTTTTATAATTTATTGACAACTATTTCTAATTAACCCCAGGTCTGACTCAAAAATTAATTAATTATTTTTAATTAATTAATTATGATAGATCGAGTTTTGAGGTATTACATTTCTCCCACCTTAAACGAATTTTGTCCTTGAAACTACCTGAGTCATTGGTCGCTCAATAGATGAGGATACTAGGTGCGCATGGACTCCTCGGTCTCCCAAGTTGCTTCTTCAATTGAGTGATTCCTCCAGAGCACCTTGACCAAGGGAACAGGCATGGTATTCAACTCTTTCACTTCGCGTGCAAGTATTTGAACGAGTTCTTCTTCGTAGGATAAACTCTCGTCAAGGGTGACCATACCTTCAGGTAGGATGTGGGAAGAATCAGAGTGGTATCTTCTCAGCATAGACACCTGAAACACATCATGCATTTTGCTCAACTCTAGGTGCATCTTGAGTCAGTAGGTTACCACTCCCACTTGCTCAGTGACTCGTTAAGGTCCAATAAACTTAGGGCTTAGCTTATCCTTCTCACCAAATCTCAAAACCTTTTTGTAAGGCGAGACTTTTAGAAATACGAGATCGTCAATGTTGAATTCTATCTCTCAATACTTAAAATCGGCATAAGACTTTTGACGGTTTAAGGCTATTTGCAGTCTGTCTTGAATCACTCGGACTTTTTCTACTGTCTCACGGACAAGGTTTGGTTATTCGAGAATAGAATAGCTTAGTCCAGTCCAACAGACCAAAGTTCAGTAATGTCTGCTGTACAATGCCTTGTATGGAGACATTCAATTCGTATGCTAGCTTGATAGCTGTTGTTGTAAGCGAACTCCATCAATGACAAGTATCGCTCCCAAGAGTCTCTAAAATCAATGATTTATTATTGTACAAGTATAGTAGTTGATACAAATTACAAAGTATTATTTTGTTTACAAGGTTTGTTGGAACAAATGAATATTTGTTGTTGTACCAAATAAATTATAATGGAATATTAAATCAATACATATTTTTCGTATATTTACGGAGAATCTCAATATGTGCATGTGTATTTTAAAGTCTTTTCGAAAGTCATACAGACATGTGAGTATAATACGCGTAAACTAACTAGCTTTTGAACACATTACAAAAAATATACTTCCTCCGTCTCGCAAAAATTTTTTGATCTTGACTTTTAGTAGATTTAAGGGAGGTATATTTTGGTGTTTGAGCTTCCACAATTGCCCTTGGGATTACTTTTTTAAAGGTGATGTTTCACATTGATGAATAGTTAACAATAATGGGAAGGATTATTTAAAAAATTAAAAAGTAAGATGAGATGTGACAGATGTGATGTACAAAAGTAAAATTAAAGAGAGACATTTTAGTCTACTTTGGAGAAATTAAAAAGCTATATGGGATGAGAAAGTTAAACCATAAAATGTTGGAATACCTCAAGTCAAACCATAAATAAATTTAGAGGAATTTAACCCAAGTCATTATTAATATGAATAATAATATCTTTTCAAAAAAAAATTAATATGAATTGAACGATCCAAAGTAAACCATATAGATATATAAATAGAAACACATAATAGTATAGAATCTCCTCATCATCTCCGTCTCACCCAGAAACAACACACCCGAACAGAAACAGTACGTACGTACACAAGTGAAATTCTCTTAGTACTAGCTGGTATATCATATTTAACTACGTACACACACGGAAGATTTAAAAGACTCATCAACAAACAAAAAATCTGCATACATATGTATATATGAGGAGCTGATAGTATAGAAAGCGGTAAAGTACAATACTTTTATGTGTTTAATTAAGCGGACGGAGAAGCCGCCGGCGAAGCGGCGGCAGCAGCAAGGCTTGAACTTTCCGGGCTGAATGCCGCCACCTCATCCACGGCTCCGCTGCTCGACAACTCTATCATCGATCGGTGTGGGCTGTTCCTCTGCTTCTCGCACAGTTCCGGCAAATATACCCCTGAGACGTGCAATTGCATATTTTGTCTTAATTTTATAGTATTAAAGAAATGATCGAAAAGAATAAATTAAGGAAAAAGGGATATTATTATTATTATTATTATTATTTGTACCCTCTCCGGCAGCCATGTTGAAGTAAAGGTCAACGATGTTGGGGCAATTCTGTTGGCAAGACTGGGAGCAGAGCTTGCGGGTGAACTCCGGCTCCAGCAGGGAATCCGACGAGATTCCGACGGAGTTCCGGTCAACGCTGCAATCCCTGACGCACTGGTCGGTCTCAATGTGCTCGGCCATCATCCCGACCACCACCTCCGACGTCTTGCATTGGTATTCCACCTTCCCGTCTTCCTTCGCCGGCGAGTTCTCCAGCAGGCACCGCTTCCCCGACGACGAGATCGAAAACGCGCAAGCGTTTGTGGGTAATTCCTCACAACTCATTTCCCCTGCATGCGTTCCATAAGCAATTAATCAAAACCAATCCATCATCTCATCTACGCACCCATTTTCCGGAAATTTCAAGAAATTATGATCAAATATTGTTGTATTTAATTTGCGCCAAAAACAAAAAAAAAATATTTATTCAATTGCAGAAATATAAATGTATATATGTATGTGTATGCATGAATATATTTACCAAGAGTGCCTTGAAGGAGGAGGGAGCAGGCAAAGATGATAATGAAAGAGGTTTTCATTGAAGAAGCCATCTCTATATATATGATCTTTAGGGTTTTTTTTTATTTCTTTTGGGGAGAGGGGGGGGAGGAGGAGGGGGGTAAGTTGGGCTTAAGGGGGAGATTATTGGGGTGAGGATTTGGGGAAGAAGGTGGGGTTGGTTTATATAGGGGGGGAAGTGGGGGCAGGCACCGAGATGAGCGGTGGCTAAATTTAGAAGCTTTTGTCTACCGGTAAATCTGTAATTTGCAACATTCCCCTAATTTTCCGTCTTTCGGAATTACGGATTATTTATTTTTGAAATATTTACACTAAATAACACTAAAACTTAATTCATTTTTCTAAATAGGACTTAAACTGTTTTATTCCTTAAATAAGATTTAATAATGTCTATAATGACCAGTGATTGCGAATATTTACTTGGACTAAAAGTGCTACATTGGGAAGAAAAACACATGTAATGCTATTCAGGAAAAGTCATTAAATTTTAGTGTTATTTAAGTAAATTTCTCTTTATTTTTCCGTTGATTGAGTCTGTATGTTTACGGAGTCTTGTTTTCCCTTTTGGTTTATTTTTCTTATTTGATTTTTCTCATGTTTTTGAGTGTTTTTTTTGACGATTCTCTACTCCGAGAAACTTCATTTTTGTTGACCCAAAGTCGCGCCTTTATTTATCAGTTTTGATTTTTTGTAGTACTTTATTTATCAGTTTAAATTTTCTATATATTGATGAATAAATTTCAGTTCGAGCGAGACAAACTCCCGATAAAAAAGGAGAATTTTATTTCAAATACTCGTACATTCTCAGGAAAAAGATTAATGTATGAGTAAGTTATACTTCCTCCGTTCCACAAAACCCTTTCTTTTTGTTTTCTTTGTTTTTCACAAAATATTTCCACTTTCTATTAAAAAACCATTTTTACCCATACTTTTTCATACCCTACCTATCACATCATACTTTTTCACTAATAACCAAACTATCACATATTACTTTTTCCCATCACATCAGGGGCAAAATTGGAAAGTCAACCAAAATTACATTTTCCTTATTTTTTTCCAAAGTCAAAACCGGAAGGTTTGTGGAACGGAAGGAGTAGAAAATATACAAATATAGGAATTTCATATTTTTATTTCTAATTTAGGAGTTAAAATACAATACATAGTCAATCATGCCAATGTATGATGCCAAAAAGTATTGTAAAATGTCCAAGCATTGTATATGGAGTTATACATATGGACCTTGCTAGGGTGCCACCACATGGGTGTACCCATGCTTCGCACAAACAAACACAGACGATAATTGTCTGTGCGACACAGACAATTATCGTCTGTATTTGTCTGTGCGAAACATGGGTGCACCCATGGTAGCACCTATGTGGTGGCACCCTAGCATTTTCCTATACATATACTGGGTACTAAAAAGTACGGAGTATTAGGAATGCTACTCAAAAGAAAAAATAGTGAGGTAGAAAAATATTTGTTCGATCTTGGAAAAAAAGTGGTTGCGCCATTTTCAAAGATTTTGAAATGTTCAAAACAAAATGGTAGAGCATTGTTGAAAAAAAATTCACAAGTTTTGTAGTGTCATTTTATGAAAACATAAAATTCACAAGTTTTGTAGTGTCATTTTATGAAAAAATAATAGTCAATTATTAAAAGAGCCACTCAAGAAAAAATTGTAATACCAAAAAAATATAGTGAGTTGTAAAAAAATATTTCCATTTTAGAGAAAAAAAAAGTATTGTACCATTTTTACAATTTTTGTAATGTGTAGAAAATAAGAAAGAAAATATTTATGTATGTTGAGTTGGCTTTGAATTGGTTTTGAATACAAAGATCTAACCCTCTTTATATAGGAAGAAGGGAAAGGAAATAAGGAAATTTCTATTCCTACTAAAATAAGAATTAAACAAACTAGGAAAGATACTAAATATTAAACTAATTCAACTAGAAAAGTTACTAAACCTAATCTCAAAGGGATTCGATTTTCTTCTTCAATCCTATTTCCTTTTTCTGTCTCTTACACTGTCCTTCTTCAATCATGCTTCCTTCTTCTATCTCTAACACCCCTCTCAAGCTCGAGCATGGGAGTTCAACATGCCTAGCTTGGACATTAAAAAAACGTTCCCTCGGTTCGCGCATCTGCGCAAGCTTCTTCGGCAGGTCCCACGTGCAATTTCTACACGTACAAATTGGGAACTGCTCCAAACCACAGAAACTGAGCAACGATCGATGGACATGATGCCGGGCGATCGTGAATAGAGGTGGCAATCAAATCAATCGGATCGGTTTCGGGTTGGATTTTTTCGGTTCGGATATCTTTCGGTTATATGTTATAATCAGTTCGGTTCGGTTCGGTTCGGTCAAATTTCGGTTCGGATTTGATTTCGGTTCTATACATTTTTCGGTTCGATTCGGATTTGAGTCGGTTCAGATACGGTTCGGTTATAAATCGGTTCGGATACAGTTTGAGTCGGATATATTTCGGTTTCGGGTCTAGTTCGGTTCGGATATATTTCGGTTTCGGATCAAATATATTTTGGATATATATTATTTTCTAATTAAAATTTAACTATTTGTGTTTCTTTTTATGTTTTATCACATTTATCAATCTATCATCAATTCAATACCTTATATTATTTTATATTTTTTCTAGTTATATTATCTCTACCCTAAATAATCTTCCCTTTTTGACTTTTTAGTCATATTTTACAAATTTGGACTACAAATTATGAAAACATATATATTTAATTATGATATAAATTTAATATAATTAAATTGATTTTTAAATTTAGTTTTGAAATATCAAATTTTTCTCACATCTACTACTCCGTAATATACGTACATAAATGAAAGGATAAAAGATAAATTCAAATAGTCTTATGTTCCATTTGAATACAAT